GAGAGAGAGGAGCACCAACTGGCTGACAATCGTCCACGACCAACCGCTAAGGCAGCAGTCTCTTACATGCACGCGCCATCGGGGCCGACAGTATTTCAGCATGAACTTGGCGCAACCAACATCACCTAACACACATAGCCCAATGGCCACGGTGGTCTGCAGCCGAACCACTGCAGCCGGAAAGTGAATACACAGACAGCAGCCTGACCACACAGGACATCGCGGCCGGGCTCGATTCTCGCACCGCTCGGTTCGCCACATGGAGTCTGGTTCTTTCGTCCCCGTGCGGGGCGCCAACTGACCGTTTTTCTCCGTGAGCGCCCGCTCGGCGCGCTCCCAGCCCTGCTGCTGGGTGGAGAGCGCCGCCTGCAGCGTCTCCACCTGACTGAGCAGCGGCCGCGTCGCCATGGTAACCGAGTCGGCCAGCTGCTGGTTGCGCCGCTCCGACTCGAGCAGGCGCCGCTGCAGCTCGCCCGTCTCCGCCTTGTACGTGTCCTCGAGCCTGGCGAGGGCGCAGCGGCAGGCGTCATTCGTCAGGCGTGGTCAGGGGGCGGCGACAGGTGCCACTCGTCAGGCGTGGTCAGGAGGGGCAGGTGTCATTCATCAGGCGTGGTCAGGGGGCGGCGACAGGCGTCATTCGTCAGGCGCGGTCAGGGGGCGGGGCAGGTGTCATTCATCACGCGTGGTCAGGGGGCGGACGCGGGGCAGGAGGCGGACGGCCGAGTCCGCCCCTGCCTCCCGACACAGAGCGGAGGACATAAGGAGGGCGGACGCGGATAACAGCTGGGGACAGTGAAAGCCGCTGGGGTAGGTAAACGTCCGTCCTTCTGGCGGCCTGAGACGCACAACTCGCCAGACGCATGTCAAACGCCGCGCTGGCACGCAGAACAACCGTCCGCTCAGAAACGGCGGGCCACAGTGCCTTCAATCAGCGCCAAGGCATTCGTGCCGTTCTATGTTAAAATGTGGCTGATTCCTCTACGGATCCTTAGTTCTCGGGCTTCGCAAATTCAATATCCAGTATGCGAGAGGTTCGTTTCGTTATTCCGCGGAACTCAGACCTGCAGAAATGGCCGCAAACAATCGTATATACTCACGCACATGCTTACATAAACACTCACCGCAATCTATTCATCATGTCACTCATGCATGAATGTTACGCACTCATTCGTCCATCCACTGTTTTGGGGGCCGGTACACACGCAAACATAAAGCAGTGCATAGCTCTCCATGTCAACGGCTGCGGGTGAGCAGTACCCGCTCCTCCGGCATGTGCACTGACCTGGCGTTCTCCCGCTCCTCCGTTGACCTGGCGTTCTCCCGCTCCTCCGTGTGTACTGACCCAGCGTTCTCCCGCTCCTCCGACGTGTGTACTGAGCTGGCATTCTCCCGCTCCTCCGACGTGTGCACTGACCTGGCATTCTCCCGCTCCTCCGACGCGTGCACTGACCTGGCATTCTCCCGCCCTCCGTGTGTAATGACCTGGAGTTTTCCCGCTCCGCCGTGTGTACTGACCTGCGCTCTACCGCTCTTCGTGTGTTCTGACTTACGTTCTTCCACTCTTCGTGTCTACTGACCTGGCGTTCTCTCTCTCCTCCTCCGTGTGTACTGACCTGGCGTTCTCCCGTTCCGCGCGGCGCACGCTCAGCCGGAGGTCCTCGATCTGCGCCAGCAGCTCATCATGTTCCCTGCGGCAGACCACAGACGGTAACGGCACCGGTGATGGGGTGAGGCCGCCGTTAGGGGCCGCGACCGAGGACTGGTTCCGTCAGGTGGACCAGCGCCGCCAGGCGGACGCGGCAGGACGTCCCCGGTCGGTACTGCCGTTAGGGGCTGCGGCCGAGGGGTGGTCCCGTGAGGTGCACAAACTCCGCCGGGCGGGCGCGACAGGACGTCCCCGGCCAGTACTGCCGTTAGGGGCCGCGGCTAAGGGGCGGTCCCGTCAGGTGCACCAAAACCGCCGGGCAGACACGGCAGGACGTCCCCGGCCGGTGCAACTGATGACCGAGAGCAGTGTCACCAGCCACTGCTGATGACACTGCTCTCGGACGTGAAACGTGGGCTGGAGATTGGTTAAGCAATCTGATGGCTGCTGTACTGTGGTCACGCTTACATCACATATAAAGGCTAGGCAAGGTACGATACGCTACCGTACGATAATCCACAGCCGTAAGCTCTATTTAACACGGCTGTTCCACATTTGCATGGGGTTTTGGACTGAGATGGCCATCTTGGAGACCATTCAGTGCATTTCATAGTCATACCCCTTTAAGACTTAAAAACCCTCTTGTTTCTGAGCTCAGCGCCCCAAGCTTGTGCCAGCCTATTTCAAGGTCACCCAGATCTGCATGACGCCTAAGATACGTCACACCAATACCGACACCTCGTGGGCCATGTGGCGCTCAAGATCAAGAAAAATCTTATAATCGAGTTGTTCGGGTCTGGTGTACGCCAACACGACTATTGGCATCAACGGACATCAGTTGACATTCAGTTAATTTCTTGGCTGACGTGCGAATTATGAACACGATTTGGCTACTCAGCTATTTGACTCAGAGTCGTTTCGACCAGTAATGGCCATTTTAGGGCTATGGCATGAAGGAGAATAGATTCCGGTGGAGCAGAACAACAAGCACCTGGGCACCCAAGCGCCCAGACCAAGCCCACGCAGGGACCCCCCCCTTGCGGGGTGTGTGCTTGGCGCTCGGACAGGGTCCCCGTCAGGGACTTCTCGGTCCACTCGTGGCTGACGCATACAACCTGCCCCGGACGAGCGGGGCGGCACGAGGATGCGGGATGAAGCGAGTGAAAGGATACAAGGGCGGATTTCCAACACTAAGAATGTTCTGTGCTACGTAATACATGAGTTTGGGCAGTAATATGACTTGTGTCGAAAGTACGACTGGGGATAGAACGACTTGGAGACTAGCGACTTGCAGACTTGAAGACTAGCTATACAAATATGTGGTTGGAAGTAAAAAACATCAAATCACGCACAAATATGGAAGAACACCACGAAAGGTGTCAAAATAAGAACACATATATAAAGATACAATAGTTTCACAAACACACAAACGCAACCGCCCCAACCTCTCGGCAAGTTTATAGCGCGGCGAGCCTGTCAGTGACTCGACTGAAGATGTTCCATGGCACACTCAAACGATGACATATTGTGAAACATGCGTACTACAGAGTGAAATGCATTGGCTAAAGCAGTTTTTTACACCTGACACTAAACCAATAGTTACATATGAGCTGATGTTATCGCATCTAATGCTTGCCTAAATATCTTCAAAGGCGGAACATTCTTTTAATCCACCAGACTAAATTCTGCTGAACCTCAAAAATGTCTGACAGGCAGGTTTTGTGAATGGAGTAACAACCATGCTTGAACCAAACTGATATCGCAAATTCGGTCAAAGCAACAGCTACACTGTGATATCTATGGCCTAGAGCTGGACCTTGGTGATGGCACTCTGATTGTACCTGGTAACATTGCTGCTGTACTCGGCCAGCGATCTCTCCAGCTCCGCTCAGTACTGTACCTGGTAACAGCGCTCCTGTACTCGGCTAGCGATTTCTCCAGCTCCTGCTTAGCCTGGATCTCGGCCGAGAGGGCCAGCGAGGCCGCCTGTGAGTCCTGCTCCTGACTGCGCCGCTCCAGCTCGGCCACCTCCCTGCGCAGAGGTCAGAGGTCAGGTCAGGTCACGCAGACCGATGCGGCTGCAGGATCCGGTGCCTGGGGGGTGGGGTGGGGTGGGGGGGGGGGGGGCACATAGGATGGCGACTGGTGTCATATACAGGCTACTGGCAGACAGACCACGGATGGAGATTAAGTGGCGCCATTCTTGGCTAAAAAGGACGTGTCTGGGTGAAGCCAGCACGAATATAAGTGACAGCCAAAAGATATGAAGGACCACAGGACTTACAGTTAACCTAGAAAGATGCCATACTATTGAGGTGACCAGTAAATACACACCAACATGTGGATACCAGCATATCATGGCCAGAGGCGTCAGGCAGACACCATCAATGACGATACAGAGTTGAACTGACGGCCCATAACTGCTCTGTGCCGATATAAAGCCCAGGCCAGACCCCATTCGACACCCTGCGGGCGCCGCCAGCGCCGTCCGGGCCGGCACCCACCGCTGGGCGGTCTGCAGCGCCGCCTCGGCCGCGGCCGCCGCCTGGCGCGCCTCCTCCGCCTCCTGGAGCGCCTCAGCCGCCTCGCGCTCGCGGCGCGTCAGCTGGCCACTCAGCTGTTTGTGCACGCGCCCGTGCTCGCGGTCGGCCTCGGTGAGCGAGGCCACCTGCTCGCCGAGGGCGGCCACCTCGGACGTGAGGCGGGCCACCTTCTCCCTGCCGGCCGTCAGGCGAGCCAGGAGTCAGCGCTGGCCAGGTGACGTCGGCAGAACCGAGAGCAGCTGCATGTGGTAATGAGGAAACACAGGCGGTGAAAGCCGTAATATAACATATGAATAATGCATGGACGAATGGGTAGTCCGCACATATCGCCTCCATTTACACATCCCACGTCTCCACACGACACCACAGCACAGCGGCGCTCGCTGCGCGGTCGCAGGCCTGCGCAGTTCAGCGCACGTCTCAGAAGGGCCGAGGCGTCCACCTGACGACGCTTCGGCACAACCGTAACAGCGCCGCGAGGGCCGCCCGCCGCCAGCGGCGCCGGCCGACGCCAGCCCCGCCGCTCACTCGTGTCTCTTGGAGGCCGCCTCCTGCTCGCGCTCCTTGACTCGCAGCCGCTTGATGACCGTGTTGAGTTTGAGCTGCTCCCTGCTCAGCTTCTCGCCCTCGGCGCGCAGCTCGTCGGCAGTGGCGTCCCGCTCGAGCAGGGCTTCCTCCAGCTCGGCGCAGCGCCGGCGGGCCTCCTGACCACAGGGCACGGCCGCTACAGCTCGCCCGCCGCACAGCCTCGCTCCAGCAGAGCCTTCCACCGATCAGTGTATCCGACATCCAAACGCAGGCCAGTGCCACGTAATGCAACTTGCACGGATTCCAGGGCTAAGTCATTGCTGTTGCCTACCAAAGATTTAAGAACTTCCAGATGGAGAAATGATTGCAGAAGAAAGTTTTACAAACTTGCAAACAATACACTACCATTTATCAATGCATTAGCAGATACCTGCATGACTGAACAAATACAATTATAAATAACAACGCCCAACGTTTCTCCCCCAGACAAAATACGTTCAACTCGACACGCTGTTTTGGCATGACACAATAAAATCACGAGCGCGCAGGTGTGACGTCATCCGTGCTCACCCGCAGCTGTTTGTCGTTCTGTGAGGCGCCACCAGAGGCGCTGCTGTGCGTCCAGGCGCGCCTCCAGCAGCTCGATCCGGCTGACGAGGTAGAGAGGTAGAGGCGCCGGCGGTGAGTGGTGACGGACAGACTCAAACGGAGCCGGGCCGCGCCACGCACGACCGACATCACCGACCGACCGGCCAACGGCCAGCATCGCACTCCAATGACATCGCCCTCCCCACAAAGCGACGCGCAGTAGCGGATGTCAGCGAGTGCCTGAGCTTTTCCTACCATTCAAAAACCATGCAACAGGGCAGTGAAGTAGTAATTTCCACGCTGCGGCGAAGAGCGAAGCAAGGCTCGTCAACGACGCACAATCATGTCCAGAGCTCTGCCCAAAGCTCTGTCGTCTCAACATGCCGGCATCTTTACCCAGGCAGAGCAGGCCGCCGCGTCCGCGCTTGTGCGTCTCTGCACCGGCGTCAGCGCCCACCTCTGCATGTTGCTGTTGTCCTCCTGCAGGGTGACGTTGAGCCGGCTGAGCTCGACCATCTTGGCCTCGCGCGCGGCCAGCACCTCCTGCAGCTCGGCGGCGCGCCGCGGCCAGCGCTCGCCCTCCTGCTCGGGCTCGGAGGAGGCCAGCGACGCCTGCGACAGGTTGCGGTGGTGGCCCGAGTCTGCCGACAGGTCAGCCCCGCGTCAGCCGAGTGGCGCCGCGCTCACTCACCGTGCGTGTCACAGCCAGCGCTGTCCGCGTCGCGGGCTGGCGCCGCGGTTGCAGGGCAAAAGGCTGATCGTCAGCCGGAATTCGACTGTGGTCATAGGTTTCAGCGTGTGGGCGATTCAGCAGACCAGCTCAGGCTGCAACAACGCTGGGGAGCGTCACGCACGGGACGGCATCCGTGCAGAGCAAACTAAGATACAGCAGACCAGCTCCGGCCGCAACAAAGCTGGGGAGGGTCACCCACTGTACGTCATCGGTGCAGAACGAACTCCGAATCCGACAGGGCGCTGCTATCCTAGAGGAAGCCTGGTCTGAACAATATGGGGAGCAGGGGAGCGAGTCTGGCGAGAGGCCCTGAGCTCCGTTTAGTGTCACGAAAATTAACGTAAGGCCAGCCTTAAAGATCTGTCTTCGATGGGGAGCATGCCCAGGTCAGAGCGGGTCTACTGTAAACACTCAGTATGCGTATTCACACATTCTATGGCGACACAACTACCTCTCTGACATCAAATGCCTGCACCAGCCTGTTTGACACCATGCCGTCCCCCTCCCCGCCCACCCGGATGACCTCACTATGGCACGGTGAGACCTCACTACCCCCCCCCCCACCTATGCACTCCCCCACTCCACCATCCCCTCACCCACTGTCCTCTCTAGGGTACAGTTGCCAGGACCACCCTACCACCAGCCCTCCCCTCCCACCCACTGTCCTCTCTATGGTACGGTGCCAGGGACCACCCCTACCACCAGCCCTCTACCTCCCCCACTGACCCTCTCTATGGTACGGCTGCCAGGACCACCCCACCACCAGCCCTCTCCCTCCCCCACTGACCTCTCTATGGTACGGCTGCCAGTACCACCCCACCACCAGCCCTCCTCCATGCACCCCACTGGACCTCTCTATGGTACGACTGCCAGGACCACACCACCACCAGCCCTCCCC